AGCAGCAGGTGTCAGGATTCCCTTTGCTGCTCAGGCTGAAGAGGACAGGACCCGTATTTCCGTGCAGACGAAAGGGGCCACATGCTGACCTGTCAGCTCGGGAGGCCTGCGTGGCCGCCTTGCAAACTCAGACCGAAAGTCACCACAAAGGAGGGTCTAAAATTAAACTTTAACTAAAGCAGTGATGGTGGGTAGTCACTCCTAGGCCGGTATCTGCACTGACAAGATCAACAACCTTTACCTTCACTGAGCCTGTCTGTCTTTTTGCATCTATGACAACATGTCCTTGAAATGTCCGGTAACGTGTGACTTCCCTTTCTCCGGACCCCTCGGGGCACAACCTAATGTGCTGGGCGCCAGGACAGAGACCACAAATTCCTTCACTGTTATCTCGTTCCTGCATCCACTTAAGTATGTCTATCATTCCGCTTTTTATCCAATCCCAGGGGTTTCCCTGCTTTGCTTTCTCCCGCCTCTCTAGTCTATCACCAATGGATTTCATGTGACCGACCTAGGTCCCTCCTTTGATTGCGATGTATAAACGCAGAGGTAACGATAATCCGCTGAGGTTCTGCTTCCTGGCAATCGTGGACAGTTTGGCTCAAATAAACTCACAAAACTTCTTCACAGGTCTGAGTGTTTTTATGTGAACACACGTGTCCATCTGTGAGCAGACACCTGTTCCCCACGTTCTGGCTGCTGTGACTAACGCTCCTGTGGACATGGGCGTGTGGATGTTGTGATTACAATGAGTTTATTAGATGGGACGATGCCCGAGGGGCCTGGGGACGAAGGAGAGGGCCTGGCACCCACTGGACAGCACTGCACCAGCACAGAGGCCGCTGGGGCCCCCTCTGCCCCGGCCGCCCAGAGCCACGCGGGGCATCAGTGGGAAGAGGGGGGGCAGGCAGAAGCGGAGACCTTTCCCGGAAGCTAACAGGCCCCAGGCAGTGGTGGCCTCGGCTCCAGCCGGCGAGGGGTCCTGGTGCAGGGAAGATGGGCTCAGCCGTCAGAACGGTGCGAGGGGAGCCTGAAATCCAGCTCCCCTCCTCACTGAGCCAGTGTCCCAGAATCACCTGAACCCCCCGGGGCTCCTGCCCCTTCCCTTGCCACCGCCCTGCCACCCCCGCAGATGGCCCGTGGCATTGTCCTGGGACTGGGCTCCTGCTGCCGGGAGCTCCCCACCCCCCACCCCCACCTCACTCAGGCAGGGCCCGGGGTCAGGAGGCAAGGCTGGCCCTTCCCCCAGATGCCAGCTCGGCAGACGGGTCAAAGGCTGAGAGGGAGCCTCGGGGAGCGGCCAGGCCAGACGCCACACCCAAGAGGCCCTCCCCAGCTGCCGAAGGAGAGACAAGCAGGCTCCCCGCGGGCTTTGGCCATTTCCTGAGGAATTCTCCAGGAGCCTGGGGGAGGGGAACATGACTCAGCCCACCTCCCACAGGGAGACGCAGCCCAGGGCCCAGGAGGAGCGGCCCCACGTTCTCAAGGCTCTGGGGGTGCTTCAGCTCCCGGAGCCAGGGAGGACCCCTGGGAAGGGGTGGGAGGGGGCCCTCAGGTGGAATGTCGGGGAGCATCCTCGCTTGGGGGCACCCCGAGAAACAGCACTGCAGGAGGTGATGCCCGAGGCCCTCAGGGGAGCAGCAGGCAGGAGTGGACCCCCGGGCCATGCGTCCAGGGGCGGGGGCCCTCACCCCCGCAGGCAGCGGCTCCTGGGCCCGGAGGGGACCTGTCCTGGATGCTCAGCCCGTGTCAGACAAGCACAGAGGCAGCAGGAAATTCCAGGAGAGCTTCTCCCGCCCCACAACCACCTCAGGCCGCTCACCCCCCAGGCAGTGGCTCCTCGTTTTGGGGAGGACCTGCCCCTGGAATGGTTAATCTGCGACTCTGCTGACAGCCAATCACAGAGCCCAGCAGGAAATACCTGGGAGAGAGCCTGAGCCTAGCCCCAGTCTGGCCCCAGGCAGCCCTCTCCCAGTGTACCCGCCTCTGTGGCGGTGGCTTCGGCATGGCGGTCTGGACCCCTCAGAGGCCAGGGCTGCTGCTGACGGTGCTGGTGGTGACCGTGGCGGCAGCCCGGCCTGCTCACCTGCTGACTTCGAGGTCCTCGGCCCAGGGCGCTCTGGACCGCGTGGCTCTGGGCGGCCTGTTAAATACGCTTGCGGCCCGTGTGCACTGCTCCTCGGGGCCGTGTGGAAAGGTAAGCGCCCCACCCCCACCCGAAAGGTCGCCTTGGGCCCGGCCCTGCCCGCTCCTCCCCAGGGACAAACTCCAGGAGGCGGGCAGAGGCAAGTGCCCCAGTGCCGTGGCCCTGCCTGGGGCTCCAAGCCCAGCCTTCTCCTGCCTGGGAGCGGGGCCGTGATGGGGACTCGAAGCTCTGGGGACCCAGGGCCACCTCTCTCGTCGGCCCCAGGCAGTGATTCCAGGGAGAAACCACCTGGAAGGGGGGACCACTGCCTGGGACCCCTGTGTGTGCACCCCTGTAATTGAGGGGAGTGTGTGGGAGCAATGGATGGGGGTCGGGGTGGGGGCGAAGCAGCAGCCCCCAGGTGCCTGGCCCCTGCTCACCTGTCTCTGCCCACAGTGCCTGTCTGTGGAAGACCTCCTGGCCCTGGGCCGGCCTGAGGGGCCGGGGCCAACCCCAGTGTCGGTCCTGGAGCCCGAGCACATCCCCCGCCTCAGTGCGGCCGCTGCCCTCTATCTCAGCGACCCTGAGGGCACCTGTGAGGACATCCGGGCTGGCCGCTGGGCCTCCCGAGCTGACCACCTTCTGGCCCTGCTCGAGGGCCCCGAGGCCCTGATCCCAGGCCTGAGCAGGCTGCTGCGGAGGATTCAGGTCCGGACCGCCAGCCTGCCCTCCGCAGAGGAGGTGAGGGCCAAGGGGGACCGAAGGGAGGGGACCCACTCCGGAGGGTGGGCTTAGCTGGGGGTCACCTTGGGTGTTCACCACTGAGTGGGGCAGGGGCTTCGGGAGCCCTGGAGGGGCCCTGGCCAGGGGACAGGGAACAGAACGGGCTCCTGGGGCCCCAGGAGAGGAGCTCAGCTCAGGCCTCAGGTGAGCAGGAGGCGGGGGTGCCCTGGGGAGGAGACTCTGGGGGCCAGGAGGCCCACACGGAGTGCGGCCTCAGCCCTGCCCCTCCCCCAGGCCTGCGTGGACCTGCCTTGGCTGCTGGACCAGGCGGCGGAGGCAGGGGCTCCCGGCAGCCCCGGCCCCGTGTTGGCCGCTCTGCTGGACCACGTCCAAAACGGGTCCTGCATCCACGCCCTGCCGACCCCCCAGTACTTTGTGGACTTCGTGTTCCGGCAGCACCATGGGGACACTCCCAACATCACACTGGACGGTGAGGCCTGGGCAGGCCCCGAGTGGGACGTGCCCCCTGGGAGGGCAGGGCCGGAGCCCACACAGACTGGTTCTGTCCCCTTGGCCAGAGCTGGCGGCGCTGATGCAGCACCTGGGGGTGGGTGGCACGGCCGCGAGCCACGGAGACCACGGCGACGACCATCACCACCATCGTCTGAGAAGGAGGGCCCACCTCGCCCCCTCCAACAGCAGCGCCAGTGTGTGGGACACAGTGAGCAGCCCCGGGGCCGTGGTCCTGGGGATGGGGGGTCCCCCGGGCTGCTCCAGTCCTGACCTCCAGTCCTGCCACCCCCAGGTTTGCCTGGATGCCAGGGACGTGATGGCCGTGTACGGGCTGCCTGAGCGGACGGGGGTGTCCCCAGAGGCGTGGGCCCTGCTGAGCCCTGCGCTTCTCCAGCAGCAGCTGAGTGGGGCCTGCAGCCCACAGCCCAGCCACCCCGCCCAGGACCAGCTCAGCCAGGCGGAGAGTGAGTGCCTGTCCCCCCAAGTCAGCCCGCCCGCTGTGCCCAGGGGGGCTGGCCACATGGCGGAGGGGCTGCCCAGGGAGGAGGGAGTGGGTGCTGGGCTGTGGGAGAAGACAGTGGAGTGGAGGGTCACAGGAGAATGTGGGAGGCCTGGGAGGGAGGGGGTGGAGCTTTAAGGAGGAGAGAGGTCAGCGTGAGCAGAGGCCTGGCCAGTCCCTGACCACCTACGCCTGGTGAGTCCCTGCTCACTCCCCTGGGAAGGCTGGGGGAAGGCCTCACTGGGTCCTCACTGCCCCCACCCCCTCAGAGTACTTGTACGGCTCCCTGGCCACCCTGCTCATCTGCCTCGCCTCGGTTTTCGGCCTCCTGCTCCTCATCTGCACCAGCTGCAGCAGGGCCACCCACTACGTCATCCAGACCTTCCTGGGCCTGGCCGTGGGCGCGCTCACCGGAGACGCCCTCCTGCACTTGACGCCCAAGGTCAGCCCAGCTGGCCAGGACCCTCCCTCCCCACCCCGGGGACTCCCCTGCATGGTCTTCCTTCCAGGCCCACTCTCCTGGGCCCTTCCCTGAACCCTAACCTCTCTTCTTCATCGGTGGGGGGGAGACCCTGAGGCAGCCAGCCCCGTGCCCCTGCCCCGCCCCCAGGTCCTAGGGCTGCACCAGCATGGCGGGCACAGTGAGCTCGGAGGGGACCACGAAGACCACAGCGCGCAGCCCATCTGGCGCCTCCTGGTGGCGCTCGGGGGCCTGTACACCTTCTTCCTGTTCGAGAAGCTCTGTGACCTCCTGCTGCCCCAGGAGGTCAGGCTTGTGGGGACTGGGTGGGGAGGCCGGTGGGGAGGGGGTACAGTGGGCCCTAAGCTGTTGTCCCCACAGGACCTGAAGGAGGAGCCCTGCAGCCACGGTGACCACCACGGCAGCCACGGCCACAGCCACGGCCACAGCCACGGCATGTCTCTGCAGCTGGCGCCCAGGGAGCTCCGCCAGCCCAAGCAGCCCCAGCAGAGCTCC